GTTGCGTTCTCCGTACAATCACGTCGCCCGTCGGGCGAAGCGAGTGCCTGGATTAAGTCTCATTATGTTTAGAGCCGTTTTTTATTAACGAGAAAAAATGTCTCGCAGGACTTCAACCCGGAATCTTGGGATTGGAAAACAATCATCTTAACCACACAATTATTACAGCTCTACCAGATAATGAACACAGAATGAAAATGTTGGAACAAATAATATATAGGACACAGTCAGGAAAGGCAATTAGAAATATCATCTATTTTCTATTTCCGAGTTGATGAACGCACTATGAATAGAATTAAGTTCCTTGGATTAGAAACAATCATCTACAAAGTTACACCTCTACCAGACATGAACATGGAACAACTATGTTGGAAACAAATAATTAGAACATGGTCAGGAAAGGTAATTAGAAATATCTTCAATGTCTTATTTCCGAGTCGATTAATGCACCATGAATAGAATTAAGTTCAGTGTGGTGTATTCGGTTCATTTCACAATGTTCCCCAATCAATATATAATATGCTAACAATATAGTATGTTCTCTCTCGTTTTCAATAGTGGAAATTTTCGAATTTGACTTCCAAAAATACTCCAAGATATTCATAAAGTTCAATACACTGAAGATCACCGGCTGGAACTATTAATGATGCACTTTGATGTTGTTTACTAATGTGCTCATCTGTGACTCTGTTCCGTACATCTCATTAAAGGCTTTCACAAAAGTGCAATCATAATTATCATTTAGTTTGGAAATATTCATAGTAAAATGCTTATAAACAAATATATACAGGTATTCAAAATATTTGAATCTTAGCTGAAATCAAATAAAACATGAATCTAAATTATTCAGTTTATACTAATTAATAGACTTCATACATAATTGATAGTACGAGCTATACACCATTTTATCGGGCGTGTTTTGAAACAGTGCCACCAATGTATGAAGGGGGAGGGAAAGGACATCCAGCAGAGCACAGTACAAAACAATCAATTACACTGGTTGACTAAGCGAAATACTGCTGGATGTCCCAAGTTGCCAGGTTCTTGGATATTTTCATTTTAAATTTGGCAAAATTTTTATACAAACAATACAAAGAATAATTAATTGTATTTATTAGTGTCTATGCACTTAGTCATACTAATTTTCTATTAAAAGCTAATAATTATGTATATAATTCAATTATTGATATTATATTCAGTATTTATTATCTCAAAAAGAATTTTAAATAAGTACTAGGTATACTTGATCACATTCTACAATTATTTCGACTTAGGCTATTACATTTTATAATTTAAATATTAAGTGAATTACCATTAAATGCTGTTACTAAAACAATGAAGCTTTTTTGAAGAAAATACATAATCAAATTGTAGTAAATTATATATTAACACAGTAAGGTCCGAAACATCTTATTTGCAAGAACACAATCAAAAGCGTAAAGAAATATGTGACAGCTCACACAACTACATAGCCCACAGGGAATACCGGAATGTGAAAGGTGCGACACGCTTCATAGAAATTATATTACCGAAGGGGTTCAGGGGTCATTCCAAGCGATAGTTTACATCTTTGAATGGAACCGAACAAACAAAAAATGTCACGGTAGATCTGTCATCACTTTTTTCTTCCCAGGTAGCAACCGCTTCAACGACATGTGACACCCGTGAGCAAGCAGACGATAATGACATGCGCTAAGAAATCTAAACTGTTAAACCACAGACGTTATTAACAGTTGCCATGGTTAAACAAAGCCCCTGTGATTGGCACCGGTAGTGAATTTTGATAGCTTTGCTCTTTAAGTGTTTACTGTGTTTTCACTAATAAAGCCAAGGAAAGAGCTTCCTGTCAATTTCATTAATTATTCAATCCTTCTGATTTCTTAATGGACCCTTTTTATTTTCACTTTTTCCCTTCAAATACAAAAATTCCCAAAATATATCATTTAATTTACCAATGAGAGCATTCAATCTTAGATCAAATATAATTTATTTCAATCTTTATAAGAAATTGAGTGAGTATGTATTCATACATTTTTAACTGTGAGAGCCTTTCAAAAGTGCTCTTCAGTTTTGTGCAATCACATTTACATATACTGTACACTGTAGATACAATGTTGGTAAACTACTAATGAGTACCAACTAAACTAAAGTATGAGTACCAACTAAAATATTTTCCCATTCTTAATTTTCAATTGAAAACTAATAATTTACCAAACTTAAATAATTAAAGCATTGTATTCAGCTCTCACTGTCCTACAAAACCTAAAGCATCCACAGGATAATAAAACTCATTTTTAATAGTAGGATGAATCATTTAAATGTGAACCAACTGAAGATTCTAACTGATCACAGAGAAAACAACTTCTAATTACTGATACATGTACTAATAATAACTTGTAACATACTTTAGTTTAGTTGGTACTAATGAGTGGAGCAAACTCAGTGATAAAATTTGGACATAAAAAAATGTTTTCATAAATTACAATTACCATAATAGTTACCATCTACCAGATGGCGTTCTAGATTCCAGGAATAACACTGACGTAAAATGAATAGGATATTTAGAGGGATCAATTATGAATGAACTATGAACAGTATATTAGTATTTTCCAATTTGTATTTTCCAAGGATTGTTTTTGAAATGTAGATCCTTATTTTGATTACCATCCAATTTAAAGACCTACGCAAATACAAAGAAATTGTAATATCTGTCTTTTACTTGGTAAGGAAAATACTTTCAAATTTTAATCTAATCTAGAATATCTTCTCAATTTTGAAGAAAAGTTTTATGCCTTTGTAGCAAAAAAAATTGAACAGTGATAATTTACTATTAGTACTCGGTAAAGTTTTCCACACAAAAAAAAGGTGCTCCTGTATGTTAACACCTGATTGACTATCCTCAAATTGTTGAATGAATTATTATGGTATACTACCTTTTTTCTCAATATTTTACTGTCAATTGATTTACATGTGGATATCTGGCAAGTACTAAAAGTATAGAGCGCTGATTTTTCATCAGTTGTTTGTACTGGGACCTAACCTGCTCTGCCTAGTTTGCAATATGAAACTAATCAGTTAATTAGATTGACATAATCATTATACAAGTTCATATCTTAGAAATATTTATGAGGTGTAGGCCCAAGAGGTTTATCCACAAGTGTACAATATAAATTAACAATTACTGCTATAAGATGCCTGTAATTACTTATTTCATTACATAATTTGCTGATTCAGAATGCGTCTCATCCATGTTTCATTAACCATGTTCCTTATTACTAATACAAAGTAATGTCAATTTTAATGTGTGCAAAATGTCTGCAGCTCAAAAGTGCAGTGTTATTATTTACAGTAATTATTCAAACCTAAATATTGGACGTTCAATTTCGCCCTAGTGTAGTATTTTGTTGTTACTTGTATTTGTATTATTCGTTTTTCTTTTCACTTAATTCTTTTGTTGTGAATAATTTTTAAATTAATTTATTTTTATCCGACAAAAATATCAGTCTTATACGGTCTTATATTATGATTTGTATCTGTCTTGTACATTAAATTTATTTATATTGTTCATCTTGTGGTGATGATGATGATGATGATGATGAAATAAATGATCATGAAGATGAGATGATGATAAGATAGTATAATAATGATGACAATAATGATGATATGATGATGGTGATGAAGACAATCAAGATGAGGGTGGTGATGATGCAAATTTTATTATAGTTCAATGGAAATAGTCTCAAATAAATTATGTTCAGTTTCAACCTTCCTACTAAAAAATCTAGAGTGAGGATAACCAATAAACAATAGACACTATCTAACATTACGTTTTTAAATAAACAGACAAACATGTTTTCCGTCACAATCAATTGGATAAATTGCGTTTTAAACACCGTCGTGCAAGAACCAATTGCCTTCACCTTTCAGCTATTCATAAATTCCCCAGACTCTGGGATGATTTCCCTGATGATCTCAAACACTCTTTTCTTGTTCACTCTTTCCACATCTTTCTCAATAAACTTAAACAATTAGTCCTTCATAATAATTCTTAATTCACGAAGTATTGGAAATAAGTCTGTTTTACATTACATTAGAATATATATATATATATATATATATATATATATATATATTATTACTAATACAAAGTAATGTCAATTTTAATGTGTGCAAAATGTCTGCAGCTCAAAAGTGCAGTGTTATTATTTACAGTAATTATTCAAACCTAAATATTGGACGTTCAATTTCGCCCTAGTGTAGTATTTTGTTGTTACTTGTATTTGTATTATTCGTTTTTCTTTTCACTTAATTCTTTTGTTGTGAATAATTTTTAAATTAATTTATTTTTATCCGACAAAAATATCAGTCTTATACGGTCTTATATTATGATTTGTATCTGTCTTGTACATTAAATTTATTTATATTGTTCATCTTGTGGTGATGATGATGATGATGATGATGAAATAAATGATCATGAAGATGAGATGATGATAAGATAGTATAATAATGATGACAATAATGATGATATGATGATGGTGATGAAGACAATCAAGATGAAGGTGGTGATGATGCAAATTTTATTATAGTTCAATGGAAATAGTCTCAAATAAATTATGTTCAGTTTCAACCTTCCTACTAAAAAATCTAGAGTGATGATAACCAATAAACAATAGACACTATCTAACGTTACGTTTTTAAATAAACAGACAAACATGTTTTCCGTCACAATCAATTGGATAAATTGCGTTTTAAACACCGTCGTGCAAGAACCAATTGCCTTCACCTTTCAGCTATTCATAAATTCCCCAGACTCTGGGATGATTTCCCTGATGGTCTCAAACACTCTTTTCTTGTTCACTCTTTCCACATCTTTCTCAATAAACTTAAACAATTAGTCCTTCATAATAATTCTTAATTCACGAAGTATTGGAAATAAGTCTGTTTTACATTACATTAGAATATATATATATATATATATATATATGTATACAGTATATACATTTTTTTTTGCATTTAATTTCTTTAAAGTTAAAATGAATTCTGATCAATGATTACATATTTTGTTATATCTATTTTTGTATTCCACTTACTTAGATATTTGCTTTCAGTATTTTGTTAATTTTGGTTTGTTTTTTTTTATTATAACTGACCTTTTTATTTATAATATTGTATTTATGTTAAACTGGATGAGTGAGGTTCACAGACTTTGTGTTATAGTGATTGAGTTCGCTTTTGTGTTCCTGCCAACTCATTCAATTTATTGTGTTGTTTTCTTTATGTATTCCACCATTGTACTGTACTTTTTGTTTTTGGCGAATAAAGAATAAGAATAAGAATAAGAATAAGAAATATTCCCATCACCTACATGAGGAACAAAATTCTTGGAAAAATATATAATGATGTCATATCTCATGTTTTCAACTTACCAAGTTATTATTAATGTCATTAGAATCCTGTTCTGGAAACGGGGTGTACACAGCAAGAGCAACGCAATTCGCAAATATCGTAAACAAGATAATTACTTCAAATGGTCTAAAGGTTGTAGTTAAAGGAATTTATAGAATCAAATGGTATATATGCTGAGAAAGAAAAACATGTAAGCAAGTAATTTCTTAGGAGTGATATTTTGCCCCCTGCTAGTTGGGGATCAGATTCAAAACTAGGTACTAAGCACAAGCTTGGTGGTCTAGTGGTTATGGCACCAGGCTAGTTACCTGGAGGTTGTGGGTTTGATTCCCACCCAAATCACTTCTTGGGAACGTACTGAGTATTCAGTATGATAACACATCAGGTAAGGCAAAACATCACTCCTATATTTTCCTGATGCAAACTCACATCAAAAAAGTAATTTCTTATTGAGAATTTCTTAGGCTGGTAACATGAAATCTAGGCCTACACAACTTGACAATTCAAAAATATTTCTATACTGCTTTGCTAGATTTAAGGTTAGAAATTATCACTCAATAAAGCTATAAAATTTTAATTAACATTTCATAGTCAGAATCATTAATATTAATGTATTTTACTCAAGTGTTAATTAACCATAAATCAGTAATCAACCAAATTTAATTTAGTTAATAATCAATCAACAACACAGACTAACTTATTAGAATATTAAACTATTATATTTTTATACTTATATATGCAAAATCATAAAAAATATATCAAAATATTAAAAACCAAGAATTTATAATATGTACATTTTTTAGACTAATATATCTAATAATCATAAAGATATATATTAATTAAATATTACATATAATAATATATTTCATATTTCATAATTTTTATTCCTCTAATCAATTGGACATTGCTGTATAAAGATATCTTATGCTGTCTCCACATAATCAAGTTTTATGCGACCGATACATATGATTTGCCCATGGGTAGGATATGACATCATCATATCCATATATGGGCATGTCACACAAGTTTGTCACATAAAACTTAATAGTGTGTATGAAGATATACTGCATAATTCATATCAAATTTAACAATCTACTATAAAAATATTTTAAATAATTCCTTTAAGTGGGAGTCTAGGAACAGTTAAAACAAATAAAGTTATCAAATTTCAGGCTACTAGACTCCATCCAACATAAAATCGCACTTAGAAAGCAAAATCTTGTAGTGATGTGTTACATGAGGCCATCAGGCATGGCACAAACAATATCTATATTTGATAAAATTATATCATAGAAAATACCTTTACCATCTACAGTTGCTACACTAAGGAAGTATTTCGGAGACACCATTAACCATGGTGTTTCAAGATATTTAAATATTGGTTTGATAATAAAAATTAACTAAAAAATAATATTGAATGTTCACTGTTATTAAACAGTGTTATTTTACTAAAACCTACCTTAAGGGGAACTATAGACAATGGAGAAATTAGAGAAAAATTTAAAAAAAAATTATGTTAAGGGGAAAATAACACAAAAGAAATTCCCCTTAATTCTGATGTAGTGCTAGTTATTAATACTCTTTATCAATATTATTTTTAAGGCACATTACCCAACAACTAACCCTTAAATTAAAATAAATAATTCAAACAAATCAAAAGGCTATAAAATTTCTATCCAGAATTAGATAGACTTCAAACCCATACTGAAATGGATGGATAAATTCAAATATAATATACTTTCAAGGATATCACTATCATTTTTAAATGTTTAGGTAATCTGTTTATGTGAAGCCCAGAAGGCCAATTATCTAAGTACTGTAATGCCATAGAAGATTACATTCTAAGGTATAATAATTGAATATTGCTACGTCTTTAACTATATTTTAGAAAGACCTTAGTAAATGTTGTGATAGATACATATTTTTTAAATGTTATTGACTTTTATTTTAACTTTGGAGGTTAACATGGTCACTTTTTTATACTGTATATTGTAATTTACTGAACATATACCTTTGTATCTACGGCACTCACTGTAGTGGTGCGTTATCAAATGTACAGTAAGTGGGCAATTATACTGATTAACTCCATAGTTATATGCATAATGTACAGTATGTAAGGTACAATATATATAAAATACATTATTTATATATATACACAAAAATCTATCCATTGACTGATTACAAATACATTAGGCCATTCACTATAGAAATGTCACAATAAAGAGACTGATGGAAAAAAGTTTGATAAATGGACAAATATAAATTGTCTTAAATTATCTAGTCCATTAACCATATGAAAATAATTTCTTTAAGATAAACTATAGATTTACATTAAAGTTATTAAAAAGTTTCAAATCAAAAGGATACTTCCATTCTACAAAGCGTATGCACATCCGTCGTACAGGATTGTCTAATGTAAGACAAAAAAGCGCCCTTTGTGGTCGAAGCGTACTTGAATGGTGCGTTTTTTTCTTGGCATAGGAGTTGCTTGTTCGATTACGTGACATGCTTTGAGCTGTGGTAGTAATCGCGAGAGTCCTTTGCCACGCCGGACTTAGTGGATTCTCTGTTAAATTTGATGAGGGCTGTGAGCTTAAACTTGTGTACCCCGACACATACCTTCCCCGATTGGAAACAGCAGAACCACTGTGATTAACTCCTGGAACAAAAATTATATAAAAATTACAGAAATTTAATCCAAATCAAGTCAATTTCAGCACTGAAATATAACAGAATTCAAGTAGAAAGAAATACCCATTAACTTCACCATCAACATTACCATATACCACCATACTGTACAGGTAGCTCTTCATAATTATTATTTCCTCATTTATCATCATCATTTGCATCCTCCTCATTATCATAGCCCTCCTCCTCCTCATCATCATTGGCATAATATTCTTCCCTATCATCATCATAATCATCATTTTTCTGTAGTTAATTATCTGCCTAATCATTATCCTTAGCATCCTCATCCTATTGTTATCAATATTATCATCCTCATATTATAATCCTCATCATCATCATCCACACCCTCCTTCTAACCTAATCGTCATTAGCCACTGCCAATAGTATTAAATAATGTACCGCTTCAAGATGGCTACACAAATGCCATTTAAAAAATATATATCACTGCATTTTTTCCTCGTAACATTGTACGCCATATTTGAACATTTGTGTGTCTGTGTGTGCTAACTAATCCGCATACATAAATTTATCCTGGCATGTGGATTATTCCATTTTTTATGCATGGGTCATGGGAACAATCATAGAAAACTATTAAAAGTATTGCAGTCAGTGTAAAGATGATAATGATGATTATAAAGATAACGATGATAATAATGATATTGACAATAATAATAATGACAAAGATGATAATGATGATTATAAAGATAACGATGATAATAATAATATTGACGATAATGATAATGACAAAGATGTTAATGATTATAAAGATAACGATGATAATAATGATATTGACGATAATGATAATGACAAAGATGTTAATGATTATAAAGATAACGATGATAATAATGATATTGACGATAATGATGACAAAGATGATGATAATAAATGACAAATAATGATGACGATAAATGACAGTGATGATGATTATGAAGATGATAATTATGAAGATAATGATAATGACAAAGATGATAATGATGATAAATGATAAAATAACGATGATGATGATTAATGATAGTATTGATGATGATGATGGTGACAATGATGACTATACAGTATAAGACGAATGTGATTTGCAATGAGATATCTACATTAATGATGGCGACAGTCAACACTCAATCTTGCCTCAAAATGCAGAACCAATTAACGAGACATTTGTTTGCTTGTTCATCATTACTCCTCTGAGTACAAATTCAAGGGGATTGAAGGCTGACATGACATTTAAATGTAATGAACAATTTCTGTTTTATTCTCCTGTTGGTATTTAATTCACGTCCGACACTAAGCTATATGCCAATTACAAGATCCAAAACTACTTTCAAATTCTGAGTAAAAAACTATAAAATCAGAGTTGATGATTACAAACAGAAACATCACACTTAAATTAAAAATCTGTCACATGTCGTGGGGTGTGTAGGGCTATGTTTAACATTTGTTACAATTTACTCATGTGATGATGTTGGAAAAGAATGTTAGGAATTTCGTGGACTGATCATAAGATAAATTAATTTGGTTTTCAGCACACCGATGACATTCCTTCCAAACAGACAAATAATATTATACCTCAGAGTGGTCATACAAGTAAAAGTCAAACTACAAAGAAAAAACCCATTGTGTTTAGTAAGAGTACAGTAAAACTACAGATATATAGGCCCTATAAAAAATTATTAGTTTATCACTTTTTAGTAAATAGTTAGTACTATATTTTTTGTATTATCTCAATCATGAATTTTATTTGAATATCAATGCACCAGCCCAAGAATGATATTTAGCTTTAGCTTCATCCCTTTTCTAGCCTAGATATGGTGATAAACTAATATTTTATATAAGGCCTGAGAAAAGGTGGGGAGGTAACCTAAAGTATGCAAATGTTTGTATGGCTATCATAGAATGTAGGGAAAAACCTAGTGTTTCATATGATTTGAATGCAGGCCCAAAGTACTAGAAGGTAAGTACTGTATCTTAATTAAATATTAAACTAAGGCTCTGCAGTATCCCACAAAATGTCTCCTATATGGTAATTTTTCTACAGACACACTGCAAAACAAATAACAAATATTTTTTTTATTATATTGACTAAGGTTGTTTGAAGATAGTAAACTAAAAATTCAGATGAAATACAGTCTATGAGCAATACTTCTACTGTACACCATGAAAATGATCAACAATATACAGTTATAAAACAAGCAATATTTTTCAGACTACTGTAGCTCTTGAGCACCATGGTCCTCGTCATTGGATACATAAACAGCCATCTCTTAGGAGAATATATAATTGTCGTGCAGCTACCGTTATACTTCAGCGCATTTCATTTTACCGGTGGAGAGAAACAATGTAAGTGCCTTATCCATGGAGACAAGTGAATGTA